AGAAGAATAATAATAATTATAAGAAGAACTAGAATGTACATTTCCAGAAGAAAATGTGAAGTGGTGCTTGCAGTGGCAAAACTCGCCGCTCGGTTGCTAGGGTGTTCTTGGAGTTTGCTATGATGATGCAAGGCAGTTGCTAGGGTGTTCTGGGTGGTTGCTATGGTGTTGCTATGCGGTTGCTAGGGTATTCTGGGTGGTTGCTAAGGTGTTTTGGGTGGTTGCTAGGCGGTTTCTAGGGTGTTCTGGGTGGTTGCTAGGGTGTTTCTAGGGTGTTGCTAGGTGGTTGCTAGGGTGTTTTGGGTGGTTGCTAGGGTGTTGCTAGGCGGTTGCTAGGGTGTTCTGGGTGGTTGCTAGGGTGTTGCTAGGTGGTTGCTAGGGTGTTCTGAGTGGTTGCTAGGGTGTTGCTAGGTGGTTGCTAGGGTATTCTGGGTGGTTGCTAGGGTGTTGCTAGGTGGTTGCTAGGGTGTTCTGGGTGGTTGCTAGGGTGTTGCTAGGTGGTTGCTAGGGTGTTCTGAGTGGTTGCTAGGGTGTTGCTAGGCCGTTGCTATGGTGTTCGAGGGTGGTTGCTAGGGCGTTGCTAGGTAGTTGCTAGGGTATCCTGGGCGGTTGCTAGGCGGTTGCTAGGGTGTTCTGGGTGGTTGCTAGGCAGTTGCTAGGGTGTTCTGGGTGGTTGCTAGGCGGTTGCTAGGGCTCTGCTAGGCGGTTGCTAGGGCGTTGCTAGGCGGTTGCTAGGGTAATCTGGGTTGTTGCTAGGGCGTTGCTAGGTGGTTGCTAGGGTATCCTGGGTGGTTGCTAGGCGGTTGCTAGGGTGTTCTGGGTGGTTGCTAGGGCGTTGCTAGGCAGTTGCTAGGGTGTTCTGGGTGGTTGCTAGGGTGTTGCTAGGGTAATTTGGGTGGTTGCTATGGTGTTACTAGGTGGTTGGTAGTTGTCAAAGATGGTTAATGTTGAGTTTGTAGCATTTTATTGGCATGATTTAGCACTTAGCTAATCAATATTAGCATGTAGCTATTCACTGCTAGCATGTGTAGCATGTAGCAAGTCCTGTTTGCTAGCATGAGTCAAAAGAGCCAACCCCCATCTCTATACGATGTTCTGATGCAGAGATATTGGTCTTGCAAAACGGTTGCTAGGGTACTCTGTTTGGTTGCTAGGGAGTGGCTTGGCAGCTGCCAATCATGAAGCTCCAAAGTCAATGTGAATGTATAAACCAACCCCCATCTCTATACGATGTTCTGATGCAGAGATATTGGTTTTGCAAAATGGTTGCTAGGGTACTCTGTTTGGTTGCTAGGGAGTGGCTTGGCAGCTGCCAATCATGAAACTCCAAAGGCTGCTTGTCACTATGAAAGATATAAACCAACTCCCATGCCTCTGTGACATTCAGAATGGACGATATTCCTCTTTGGATTTTGGTTGCTAAGGTGCTCGACAATGGTTGCTAGGGCGTGGCTAGCAAGTGTTGAGGTGATTCATGATTGGCTGTTTGCTGGCCCGAGTCAAACGAGACCACCCTCATGTTTCTATGACAATTCAGTCCAGAGATATCCCTTCGATCTCTTTCAATGGAAGTCTATGGGAGTTGTTGCTAAGGTGCTCTAAATGGTTGCTAGGGCGTGGCTTGATAGCTTCACAATGATCCTGAGAGACTGATTGGTTGTCTGAGTAAAATGAGCCCGCCCCCTTGTCTCTATGACACTGTGATCCAGAGTTATGTTCAATATAAAAGCGGTTTCTATGGTGTAGGACGGCCCATTTCATGGGCCGTCCTACACCATAGTAAGTCAATGGGGAAACTTTGGGCAGCTCCTGCACCCCAGGGGTGCAACTTTTACCCCATTGTGTGGTATGTTCTTACAGAGCCTGTCAGCCTCTTCAAATGTGGTAAATTACACATTTCTGCGACATCCTCGTTCCGAGCTACGACTCGTCAAAGTTTTTCGCAATGTTAAGTCTATGGGATTTTTTTGGGCCGTTTTTCGCCCCTGGGGCGACCATCGTACCCCCGATCTCTTAGAAAAGTCATAGCACACCATTCCCGAACAGGCCGCACGTTTTGACACCTCATTCATGGGTCTGTGACAAAAACTGCGGGAGGAGTAGCGCGTCAAAAAGTGGCCAGAAGAATAAGAAGAACTAGAATGTACATTTCCAGAAGAAAATGTGAAGTGGTGCTTGCAGTGGCAAAACTCGCCGCTCGGTTGCTAGCGTGCGGTTAGCTAGTTTTTACCAAGATGCTAGCAAGATTAGCATGTTGCTATTATCATGCTAGCATGATTAGCATGTTGTTAGCATTATGCTAGCATTATTAGCATGTTGCTAGCATGATTAGCATGTAGCATGATTAGCATGTTGCTAGCATGATGATTAGCATGTTGCTAGCATGATGCTAGCATGATTAGCATTTTGCTAGCATGTTGCTAGCATGATTAGCATGTTGCTAGCATGATGCTAGCATGATTAGCATGTTGTTAGCATCATGCTAGCATGATTAGCATGTTGTTAGCATCATGCTACCAACATACTAGCATGATTAGCATGTTTACTAGCATGATGTTAGCATGATTAGCATTTTGCTAGCATGTTGCTAGCATGATGCTAACATGATTAGCATGTTTATAGCATGTTGCTAGCATGATTAGCATGTTGCTAGCATGATGCTAGCATGATTAGCATGTTGCTAGCATGTTGCTAGCATGATTAGCATGTTGGTAGCATGATGCTAGCAAAAATAAGCATGTTGCAAACATGTTTTAGGTAGATGCTAGCATGATTAGCATATTGCTAGCATGATGCTAGCATGTTTAGCATGTTGCTAGCATGATGCTAGCATGGTTGCTAAGGTGTTACTAGGTGGTTGCTAGGGTATTATGGGTGGTTGCTAGGGCGTTGCTAGGCGGTTGCTAGGGTTTTTGGCTGGTTGCTATGGTGTTGCTAGGCGGTTGCTAGGGTGTTCTGGGTGGTTGCTAGGGTGTTGCTAGGCGGTTGCTAGGGTGTTCTGAGTGGTTGCTAGGGTGTTGCTAGGCGGTTGCTAGGGTATTCTGGGTGGTTGCTAGGCGGTTGCTAGGGTGTTCTGGGTGGTTGCTAGGGCGTTGCTAGGCAGTTGCTAGGGTGTTCTGGGTGGTTGCTAGGGTGTTGCTAGGGTAATTTGGGTGGTTGCTATGGTGTTACTAGGTGGTTGGTAGTTGTCAAAGATGGTTACTGTTGAGTTTGTAGCATTTTATTGGCATGATTTAGCACTTAGCTAATCAATATTAGCATGTAGCTATTCACTGCTAGCATGTGTAGCATGTAGCAAGTCCTGTTTGCTAGCATGAGTCAAAAGACCCAACCCCCATCTCTATACGATGTTCTGATGCAGAGATGTAGGTCTTGCAAAATGGTTGCTAGGGTACTCTGTTTGGTTGCTAGGGAGTGGCTTGGCAGCTGCCAATCATGAAGCTCCAAAGTCAATGTGAATGTATAAACCAACCCCCATCTCTATACGATGTTCTGATGCAGAGATATTGGTTTTGCAAAATGGTTGCTAGGGTACTCTGTTTGGTTGCTAGGGAGTGGCTTGGCAGCTGCCAATCATGAAACTCCAAAGGCTGCTTGTCACTATGAAAGATATAAACCAACTCCCATGCCTCTGTGACATTCAGAATGGACGATATTCCTCTTTGGATTTTGGTTGCTAAGGTGCTCGACAATGGTTGCTAGGGCGTGGCTAGCAAGTGTTGAGGTGATTCATGATTGGCTGTTTGCTGGCCCGAGTCAAACGAGACCACCCTCATGTTTCTATGACAATTCAGTCCAGAGATATCCCTTCGATCTCTTTCAATGGAAGTCTATGGGAGTTGTTGCTAAGGTGCTCTAAATGGTTGCTAGGGCGTGGCTTGATAGCTTCACAATGATCCTGAGAGACTGATTGGTTGTCTGAGTAAAATGAGCCCGCCCCCTTGTCTCTATGACACTGTGATCCAGAGTTATGTTCAATATAAAAGCGGTTTCTATGGTGTAGGACGGCCCATTTCATGGGCCGTCCTACACCATAGTAAGTCAATGGGGAAACTTTGGGCAGCTCCTGCACCCCAGGGGTGCAACTTTTACCCCATTGTGTGGTATGTTCTTACAGAGTCTGTCAGCCTCTTCAAATGTGGCAAATTTCACGTTTCTGCGACATCCTCGTTCCGAGCTACGACTCGTCAAAGTTTTTCGCAATGTTAAGTCTATGGGATTTTTTTGGGCCGTTTTTCGCCCCTGGGGCGACCATCGTACCCCCGATCTCTTAGAAAAGTCATAGCACACCATTCCCGAACAGGCCGCACGTTTTGACACCTCATTCATGGGTCTGTGACAAAAACTGCGGGAGGAGTAGCGCGTCAAAAAGTGGCCGGAAGAATAATAAGAAGAAGAATAATAAGTATGTGAGATAACAATAGTGTTGCTTCGCCATAGGCAAGCACCACTAATAATAAGTATGTGAGATAACAATAGTGTTGCTTCGCCATAGGCAAGCACCACTAATAAGTATGTGAGATAACAATAGTGTTGCTTCGCCATAGGCAAGCACCACTAAATATATTACAACAGAAGCCAGTCAATTTAAATTGTAATAATATTTCACAGTATTAGTGATTTTTTTTGTATTTTTGATCAAATAAATGCAACTTTAGTGAGATTAAAAGACTACGTTCAAAAACATTAAAACACATTAATGTTTCCAAACTTTTGACCGGTACATTAAATTGGAAACATTAATGTTTTTTATATATTACAATATATGACAAATAGTTCTACAGGGATATACAGTAAACAATTAAAACCTCGAAACAAGAACTATTATTACATTGATCTGAATCGATACGTTGCAAACAAGTGGGCTAGAAAGTAGAAACAAGCCAGCGCTGTCTCCCATTGGAGGATTTCTCGGACGTGTCCTGTGAGGTCATCCCCATGGATGTGGGAGAAGCTGCGGGATGACGCCAGTGACGCTCCGCCCTGCTGCAAACTCGATGCTCGCGTTCATTTCATTCCTGCTCTCATTCCGAGCATTCTTCGCATCTCTATCGGTGCGGCGGAGATTCACGTTCACATTCCCGGCCGGCCCCCAAAAAACACAAGAATAACTTTAAACACAGTTTGCAAAAAAAAAAAAAAAACTATACAAACCCACACTAGAACAAAAACAAAGGGGCCGAACTTAAATGTTGATATAAATAAAGAAAGCGGACGTTAAGGTAAGTTTTAAGGTAATTAGCCCTTAATGGCTTAATATTGTATGGATTAAGTTAAAGCAGACGAGCAAATACAAACTGTGTTGCGTGATTATGATTATTGATAGGCATGTAACAAGAGGGGTCGGGCTCAAAGTATCTTTTCAATGGGATTTTAGTGCGACGCTGCAGCAACAGGGTGCTGCTTTCACTTTGTCCACTGACTCAGTCTGACATAGCACGAAAATCTTTGACATTTTTCACATTTTTTTGCTAAAGAAGCTGACCTTGCGCGCTCGCGCTCTGCAGTAAGTCCTGCACATTTACACCAGAAACAATACGCGTCGTTTTGGGGGAACGTTTTTTGGACATTGATTATTGCATGAAAAGAATTTTTGGACAAGATGACGGATCCAAATGTTGCTGTTTTCTCCTCCATAGTTGGCTATTTCGGAGCGGTGCACAAATATATCGAGGAGAGACTTGTTGCTCGCGCATCTTTGGCGTTTATTCTCCAACTTCTGTTCAGATCTCAGCCGTAAGTACATTTGGACTTTTCTCCTCTTTATGTATTTGACTTACTGTACGTGAACTCTTGGCCTCTTTATTTACTTGTATTACCATGGTTGTTTCTTTGTTTAACACGCACAGGAAAATACATCATATCTTATAAGCTTTAATATCTGTGTCTTTTATTTTAAAAACAACAACATCAACAACAACAACCCTGTGTTCTCGCACTTTACCTGACAGAGTTACTCTTGAGGAACTTTAGTTCTCTGTTGTGCAGTTTCAAAGTTTGTCCAAATCTGCTATACAATTCTCGAGCAGTAGTTGACATTGTTTTTAATGTTCCTACTGAGAATCTGGCTGCTATTCCTCTGTCATTTCCTTTGTTGGGATTGCCCGCCCTGTTTCTTATGGACTAATGTCGTGCTTCAGCGTGTTGTATTTCGACTTTTTAAACGATAATGCCGGTTAAAATAGAGTGTGTCAGTTACACTGTGTGTGTGTTTTATAGTATCTTATTCAGAAACGCTGTTTCATCACAAGCAACGAAACTATGAATGTAACGATAGTAACAGCATAGCTTAGCCTAGCAATTCATCAATGACTAGCTTTACCAACTCCACACTAACTACTCCATGGCATATATTATTGTTCTTTGACGTTTATAAAAGCTTCACTCTCCATTTGTGAATTCATTAGTTATGAAATCACATATGCATCGCACCTTCAGCTGCTTAATCCCAAAGATAAAACGAGCTGTGAGTTTCACTTTTCAATATAAATTCTGGGTAACACTTTATTTTACAGTGTCATTGTTACATATGTTACATGCAGTTACTATAACTATAAATTATGCATAATTACATGCAACTAAACCAAACCAAACTCTAACCCTATAGTAAGTAGCCTACTTGTTGTTAATGTTACTCAGTACTTAAATATATAATTACAGTGTAACAAAGACACCTTAACCCACACTTTACACCTAAAGTGTAACTGAATTTGGTAACACTTTATTTTAAGGTGACATATCTAGGAAAAACAGTAAATTATAATTACAAGTAACTAACACTAAACCAAACCCGGTAACACTTTATTTTACAGTGTCCTGGTTACATTTGCTACGTGTACTTACCACAGTAATAACGATAAATTATGCATAATTACATGAAACTAAACCAAACCCTAATTCTAACCTATAGTAATTACAAAAATGTATAATTACAGTGTAATAAAGACACTTTAGAATAAAGTGTAACCCCTAATCGTAACTCTATAGTTAACATGTAGATGTATGTGTAGATAATTAATCTTATTCAGTACTTATTTGAGTAATTACAATGTAACAACGTCCCCTTAAAATAAATTGTGACCTTTTTACCTTTTACTCTGTATTGTAATTGATTTTTTTTTCAAGTCAATAATATTAATATAGGCCTATATATGACTGAATCAAGCTGACTATAGTAGGCTACTTAATTCAAAGTTATTAAGGGTCAGATCACACTGTCAACCTATTCAAATTGTTGCCTTAAATAAGTAGGATCAGTGATGCCAAAGACACAGCCTGCATGTCATTTTACTATTTTGGCCACTTGAAATGTCATATGATGAAATTTGAGTTCACATACTTACAAGAGTAGAAATGATCGAAAAGATTACGAATTGATGGAAACGTATTGATTTTTTAATTTACGTTTTGTCAGTGTACTATGAGAACACAAAGCAGCTGTTTCACTTTTTCTTTCTAATGCAACATGTTTAAAACTGCGGACCCTTGTCCTGTTCTGGACTTTAATTCTTTACAGGAAAACAAGTTCCCTATTGTGCGTTTTGGGAAAAGACCTCTTTTCTTGCAGTTAATTATTGTCTTATATTTCACATTGGTCTCTTTTATAAAGAAGGGTCCGAGAGACACAATGTGTTGTTTGTGTCCTCTAACTGAGGCATTATCATGTACTACAGTAAACAGATTGACTTCTATCTGATATACGCCCTGACATGCAGTCTCACAGTGATGAGAAGCAAATCTGCTTGTTGTGTAAAATAGGCATAGGAATAAGTGCTTTTTTGCTCAGTGTTATGCAGTGCGCGCATAGACCTGTTGAACACGCTTGCTTGACATTTTCAAGTCAGAGAATGAAACATTGTCTCACACTGACTGAACCCATCAGTTGATGTTGAACATCTGACTCTTGATCAGATGTGGTTAGAAAACAGAAGAACTTGATCAAAGTTAGCCACATCCATTGGGATATAAAAATGGAAAGCATAAAGCATAAAATAAGAGTGGAAATATTTGTATGATGCAGAGACTAAAGTTTCAAACTTAACCCTTACTTTAGTTGGCTGTTTGTTAGTATATTGCTAATTTGTGTTAACCGGGTTGCTTGAGTGTAGGTTTCATTGTAAGGTATGTGCTGTTACTGTACTATTATCATTTATGAATGAGGAACAGATTGTCATTTTGATCACCGCACTGATAGATGAATTCAGCCAAACCAGCGCTGCCGGTCATCTTTATATTGCGTACTGCCTCTTTAATATATAAATTGCACATTGAGTATGTATAACACATAATGAAGCTTTAAATAGTTATTTATTGATCAGAACACGGCTGACAAAAACTCTAAATGAGTTATTAAACTACTGTTTTTTTTTTGTTGAATGAGAATGTCTTTGAAACCGTGTTTAGCTTTGCAAAAGTACCGCATTGCCCTTTCAAGCTACAATCTCTGTTAAGGAAAATCGCATATCACTGTCCGTAAATAATGAATTTGAATCAGGAGGGAAAAACATTAATTTCAATACTTTCTGTTTCAGTGGTGCTCTCCGGCGTGGCTCAGGAAGAAAGCAGTCTTTCAGTTGTGAAATGAGAAGAGAATAGGTGCATTGCTCAGACATAGTGGATTGGGTTACCTCTGGGAATGGAGGATTGTGGGGGAATGGGAGCGTACAGAGAGAAGCTATTGTTTTTCCTGTTGCTGAGCCGGGGAGGAGTGTGTGTGGCTGTTGAATTGTAGAAGGCAAACAGTTTTGCGCTCAAGCAGACATCTGGTTTAGACCCTTTCTGCACCTGTAAGAAAAAAAAAATGCAAATATGAACGTTTGCTCTCGCGTTTACCGCTCAGGGAGTCCAGGCTAACACTGTGTCCGTCATTCGCTGCCTAGGTCGGGCTATTGTTATGCCAGCAACAGGCGGCAGCGGTCGTGGGACCATATGGCCCATGTATGCTTCAGATAAGATATCTCTTCACTCAGCTTATCAATGGCATTTTAAATCGCTTCATATTTGAGTCGCTAACTTTCTCTCGGCCAGCATTGACATGTTTGTTCCAAGTTGTTTCTTTTAAAAGGATGAAAGATCAAAAAGTTGAGCTGAGTCTGACTGACATCCTGCACGCCAAACAATAGCATTTCCTCGGTTTGTAATTTTTATGTTCCCGAGTGGGATTTATTCTAACAGTCCGTTGTGAATTTTGTGTACGAGCGACGCTAATGGTAATCATATTATTGAAATATTTTTAGTAGTACTACAACAAACTGTTGATTTTCAATTTGTGTAAATCAAAATCTGCAGCTTATGACTTCCATGAGCATATGGTCTACTGGTGTCGATCTTCTTTTTTACCCCCCGTTGGAAACTGCATCATTCTAGTGAATCATTTCAAGAGTTGTTTTGAATCATGTGCAGCAGTTATTCTTGAATCAACACCTGGCACATTGAAAACACGCGATTGTAGCCTCTCTTGGCGTATGTTCTCTCACATGTGGATGTTTTTATTGACTGCATGTGATTTATGTTCAGTCGGTAGGCAGCGTGGAACAAATAGGTTTCTAATGGCGACGCATATGAAATAGGGTTTACCTCAACAAGGCTAAAACAGATATGAATGAACCGCACAAAAGTGCCTTTGCCACTTCTAGAAGCAGCTAACTCACTTTGCTGTGCTCTGTGGTCAGGGGTAATGTGAACTACTAAACTCTGCTGGGAGACAGACCAACACAAACAGCCACGTCCTGTGTGTTTTACTCTTCATAGGCATCATTTCCTATTAGAATCTATCTGTGGTCAAACAGGAATCAAGATTATCGCGGGAGGGGTAAAAAAAATCAAAGCCATGGAAAATATTATACATTCGTGAGGTCCTTGGAAGGGAAGGTCCTCGGTTTAATGATTGGCATTATAGCAGGCGTACATGTTAAAAAGGAATTCTGTATTATATTTAGTGAATACAAGGATGGATATGTTTGGCAGCAATATTCTTGTCTCTTCTCACTAATGCTAACAGCTGTTGTAAATAACGATTTTATGGTCTTCGGATGGATCCTCTGGTTTTGTTTGTAACACAATGCAATGTTTTGAAGAAAATGAATTGCATACGTTGGATGGAGAAAAAAGGAAGTGTGTCATATTGGTTGAAAGTTGGTTATTAACATCAAATTTACTAAAGTTTGACAGTTCGCTACCATGTGCATGGAAACCGCAGATGCTACAATGACACGTTTTACAAATGAGCGTCCATCAAGTATGGTTCTTTGTTCACTAAATGCATGTCTTTCAAACTAAATGAACTTAGGTGATGCAACACTACTGTCAATCTGTTTTTAATGTTTCAGTGCTGGAATTGTTTATATTAGTTCACATCAGGGTTGTTATTCATTGTTAAACAGTGTAAAATCAACTGCCTTTGCCCTGTTTCCTCATTATACATAAAAGTATTTTAAGTTTGGTTTTCTTTCCCATCGTTTTTGTAGGAAGCCGTATCTATTATCCGTGAGAAGTGTCAAGTTAAAAACCACCACACTAATATACTAAATTCCACAATACCAAACCACAATTTGAGAAACTGATACCAATAACGCTGAAAGTTTCTCAATACCAATTCAATACTACACAAAAAATCTTTTTATATGTTAAATATTAATAGCCCTGAATAAGGTAACACAATAATAAACTTTATTATATTATTATGCATATTTCTTAAACTGTGCACAAAGGCTATTTCTATTTCTCGGCTTATAACT